GGGGGGAAAGGCTCCTGCTGATTACTGAGCCCCCTCTGCCTGCCCCAGCAGCCTCCTCTCCCCATCATTTCCGTCCTAAGTGCCCTCTATACTAGACCCCTGAGGCTCGGCACCGACTGACTGCATCCTGTTCTTTTGCCTGTTGCTTGCTGTGTTATGCTCGGTTTTGGTTCCTCAAGCTGGGCACTCTTCCCCGACGGGGGGGGGGACACCAACTCCCCCATTTATGTGGGGCTGAGGGCAGGGATCGCCTCGTCCTCACCCTTCAGACATCGGCGCGAGAGATCTCAGTCAGCGCTTCCCCCCTTCACCTCCTTTATAGCTCTAAAACACCAAAGAGGGAGGAGGGGCTTGGCTTTCGCTGGCTCTGCTTTAAAACATCATGGCTTTCTGTTCCATACTGGAGGAGGGGGGCGCAGAGAGCCCAGCCCGCGGGGCGACTTTGGTAAAGTCCCTGGTCTCTTGCTCCATAGACGAGGCTGGGGTGAGAGGAGACACCGTCGCGCGCTGCGAGGTCCCAGGCTGGATGGACCCCAGCCGGACAGTGTGCTACCTCGTTCCACCGCCAGGAGGCGACTGTTCCCTCCGGCTTCCCACCCCCCCGCCCCACTTTGGGGATGCTGATGGGGGTGGGCGGTGGGGTGGGGCGCGGGAAGGGAGGCAAGAAGAAAAAGGGTGTAGTGTGGAGACGCGGTAGGTGAAGCAAGACCTAGGCCTGAGGCTGTCGGTGGAGAGCCTCATCTCTCTCCGCTGGGATTCCGGCGCGACCCGGAGGCTTTCGGGGTCGGGAGTTCCCTTAACAGAAGAAAGGGGGATGGGAAGGTTCCGCAGCTCAAGGGAGCAGTTAAAGCAGCGGGAGATGTTCCTTTCTCCCCTGCCAGGGAACCCCTTCCTCCCAATTCGGAGGACAAGGATTTTGGAAACACCGCTGCCTTCCCGGGTATGCGCACCCCCCTCGGTGGGGTCAGACTCCAGAATTAAAACGCTGCAGTGCAAAGGGGGCAGGCAGCCGCGCTGCGTTAACTGCATAGATAGGGACGGCTCCGAACTCCCTCCCCCAGCCCCCGGGGGACGAGCCCGGAATCCCCGAAATTCCCGGAGGGACATACCGAAGCCAAAGGGAAAAGGGAGTAATAAAACTAGGTTTGTCTTTCCCGCTCTCCCCCCACCCCACCCCCTCCTCCGCCCGGGCGCCCCCTGCAGGCCGCCGTCCTCAGCACGTCTTCAGCACCTGTTGCAGATGGAGGCGCACGTCGGTGGCCGTTTCCCAGGGCACCACGCTGGCGCGGAAGGAGCTGGGCTCGGCCTTCTGCGCCTCCTGGATAAGGCGGTGCATGGGATAGCCGCGGCGCGGGAAGGCCACGTCGCCGCCCGCCAGCAGCCCCATGGGGCAGAAGTCGTTGGCGCCGTCGCCCACGTAGAAAAGGCGCTCGAAGTGCACGCCGTCGTGGGCCCGCTCGCGCAGGTAGTCGCTGAGCACCTTGTGCTTGCACATGTTGGCGGGGCAGCGCGCGCAGCTGTGCGTGTGGAAGGGCCGCAGCGCCAGCAGCCCCCGCGCGTCGGGCCCCGACGGGTTGCTGAGGATGCGGCGGAACAGGCTGTGGTGGCCCGCGGCGCGCAGCGCGCTCTCCACGCCGAAGGTGTTGGCATCCGAGATGAGGATCACCTCGAAGCAGGAGCCCTGCTTGGCCACGAACTGCAGCAGGTCGCTCATGCCGGGCGACAGGGGGATGGCCTCGTAAATGGCGCGCAGGTCCCGCGGCCGCACACCCTGCTCGCCCAGGTACTGGAAGACGCGCTGCATGTACTCGTTGTAGAAGCCCTCGCGGTAGGTGGCCCGCAGGCTCTCGGGCAGCCGCTGGCCCGGCGCGGCGCGCACGATCGAGTCGTCGCTGTTTTCGTCCACGATCGTCTCGTCGAAGTCAAAGGTCAGGAGGAAGCGCGGCGCGCCTTGCGCGGCCATCCCGCCGTCCTGGGAGCAGGGGGGGGAGGAGCAGGAGGAGGAGGAGGGAGCAAGCGAGAGGGGGCGCGGCGCGGGCCGGCCGGGGAGAGGCTGGTTAGCGGGCCATGGCCAGAGGCGCTGGCACATCCAAGACCTGAGGAGGACCCAAGGCAGGTTAAGCTGGGCGGAGGACCCAACGCCGCCGCCCCCACCCCAGCCTTCCCTGCCCAACCCCGTTGGCGGCTCTCAGTGAACTGTGCTCGGGGTTATCCTCAGAAGACCATCCTCCTCCTGAACCCAGAGGGGCTTCCTTGGCACCTGTTTCTGCTACTCTCCTCTGGGGCCGCGGGGCTTAACAGGGTCAGCTTAACGGAGGGGAAACGCAGCTTCCAAGGGGACACCCCTTTGGGGGAGGTTTCTGGACTAGGCCGTTCTGGAGACTTCCAGCGACCCTTGTTGTTGGTGTGGACTGTTGGGGCTCTCCACCCCCTTCTTCCCTAACGAACGTAGGCCAGGGAAACCAGGCATTCACCCAATTGAAGCAGCCTCCTCATTCCCTTTTTGAGCCAAGCCCAGCCGATGGGACTGTGGCCAGTAGGCCAGGCTCCAGGGAACACTCGTTGGTATCATCCAAGGCATGTGGACTGTGAATGCCAGGTCCTCGGGCCTGGATCGTTAACTAAGGGCTGGGCCTGGAGAGCTAAGTGCCTGGGCCTCCGCACTGGCCAGAGAACTGGATTTTAGCTCTTGGAATAACCACGTCGCTGGGTTGACCCAGGAAGGCTCTCTGGAAGCTGCTTCCAGCCAGATGGGGTCCCAGGATGGAACACTGCTTCTCCAGGGAGTTTTCGGGCCCTGTGCTGACAGCTCATAACTAATCACTTGCCAATTCCCTGGGAGGAACACGTCAGCGGGTGGGGTTTCTGCCAGAGTCCGAAGGCAGCGGGCAGCAGAAGCAGTGGGGCTTGGGGAGGTAGGAGCTTCCCGCGCCAGGCCACGACATACCTGGGAGACAGGTGAGGGAGAGGAAAGAGAGCAGCAGTGGCTGAAAAGGCAGAGGCGGAGGGAGCAGGGAGGGGGCACAGGGTGGGGAAGGAGAGGCTAGGAGGAGGTCGTGCCAGGGGCGCCTGGAGATAGACTGCACAGGGGGACAGACTGGGGACGGGGGGGGGGGGGGGGGGCTCCAGGAAGTGGAGACCTCGGCCAGAGTCCCACCCACAGAGGACGTGGGAGAGGATGGGGGACAGAGTGCAAGTGTGAGGCACAAAGAAAGGCAAGCGAGTGGAGGCCACAGAAGCCCTCAGCAGCCTGTCCGCCACCTTTGCCTCTGCCGGCTGCCATACACGGTGGACGGGCAGAGAGCAAATCACGTCCAGCTTCAGAATACCGACCACACTGCCTTTCTCCCTCCTGGCCTCCCACCTCAGTCAGTCCAGACGGAACCACTCCTCCTTCTGGCTTCTTTCTAACTCGCTCTCTGGTATTCCTGTGATGTTTGTGGTCTGGCCCACCTTGTGAAACAGAAGTCCAAGCTCCGAATTTCAGAGCTGGGGTGTGGACCTAGCTCTCTGCCTCCCTAATAGCTCTGTCCCTTCGAGCTCATCCCTAGAGTCACCCTCTGGTCTCATCGACATCCATCTGGGAGTCTCAGCGACGAGGATCCCTGGAGTATGTAAAGCAGCAGGACCCCACACTTGGGATGGAAGCTTCCAGGGATTAGTGGAGGCCCAGTAGAGATGAGGGTAGGCCTAAAGGGGGCTGGATAGGGCTCCTTCCACCCCATGATGGGAAGGAGGTTGAGGCCTCATCCTAAGAGACCCCTGGAGGGACCCACTTACCCTAGACAGGCATCGGAGGCCAGCAACTGGAAAACACCCGCTCATTGTCAGTGCATCACCCTGGGTACCACCTGTAGGGACTCTGTCGGTCTCCAGCCGTCGTCCAGAGCTCCTGACAACCACACAAGTTCTGTTGGAGAGCGCCAGCAGCTAGCTTTGTTTCCACTACTAATGCGCACCTGATTCTATCTCCTTGGCTGAGCCCCGGGAACCACTCCCAGGGGCTCAGTGAAAACCCCTCAAATAGGCACAGCGCTCACAGATGGCAAAGCCCTTGCTAGGTATCCTCCTACCCACCCCCTGGGACATTCGAGAGGTTAGAGGTGATATTAATTGGAGATCCAGAACGGTTAGCCGATTTACTCAAAGGTAAGTGGCAAAGACAGATCTCAAAACCAGAACTTAGGGTCTGAGACCAGCGGTTTTTTCTCCAGTATGATCCTGGCCCCTTTCTTGTGTCATGGTTTACACAACACCGGCACCGGTGTTCTCCCACTGCTCATCGCAGTCCCATGAATTCACCAGTAAGGGCCCAGAGAGGTTAACTTGCCGGAGGCTGTGCTGTGTCCCCAGGGAGCCTGGTTCATGAACACCTGGCCACAGCCTTGTATGCTCTCTGCCCTTAAAAGGGAAGGGGCAGATGACCGGGCTCATTGTACCACAGCTGGGGGCCGGGACCCCTGAGCATCACAGATGATCTGGGACTGGCCTCCCTGGTGCTTTCAGAGGCTGGCAATCGGCTGGAAGTCAGTTTGAAATTTCTGCGGGGGCTTTGCTGTGTGGCTTTGGGGACAGGGGCTGGCTTCGCGGGGGCTTCACCAACTCAGCTACAGAGGACGACACCACCTACAGCTCCCAGTGCCTCCCCATGCCCCATCCCTCCCCCTCACCTTGCGGTTGAATGAGAGACTAGAAGCAGCTGGGACAGATCTGGAAAGCTACTGAGAACCAGGGGACTAGACCGGGAAAGGAGCAAAGTCCTGGCTGGTTGCTGCCCTCTGGTGGTGACAGCGGATGACACTGGAACCCCTGACTTTGTCAAGGTGACATGCTCCCCAGACCATCCCAGACCCTCAGGGAGAAGCTGAGGGCCCCCGAGACAGAGATTGGGACCTCCCAGGAACAGGGCATGGGTCAGAGGGAGGGCCCCTATCACCTGGAGCTACCCCACCCCTCGCCACGCCCTAACCAGATGTGCATTAAGCCCTTTTGATATGGATGGAGGTGGGTCTCAGCCTTTCCGCTGAAGAACCTTTTTTTTTTTTTTTTTTTTTTTGAGGAACTTTTAATCTAGGAATTGGGAAAGGCAGCCAAAGCTGAATGGGGCAGGGGGCAGAAAAAGGTGGGGGCTAGGGGAGGGGTCAAGGAGAAGATGGGAGAGAAGACATGGGGACACTGGAATAGCATGTTTTTGGAGGATGGAAGGGCTCTTCCCAGGCCCTATCTGGAGGAGTTCCAAACTTCCAGGATCCTGCCTGATATCCCATGTCTGCCCCCAGGCCTAGCGAGTTTGTGGAGAAAGGTCAGGGGATGCCACTTCTGCGATAAAAGCAAACAGCCCCACGGCACACACAGACAGACATGTGCGGGGCTCGGGGAGAAGAGAGCCGGACATAGAAAGACACAGAGGCTCTTCAAGCAGCCACCCAGAGACCAACTTTCATCCCATAGAAAAGGGTCTCCTGGTTTTGCCCTTGTTCCTTTTTCCTTTTAAAAATTTGGTGGAATGGTCCACTGATTTTCAATCATGTACAAAACTTCTCGTTCATTAGAGCAAAAGACATGGTATATTTTTTCATCTAATAATACTATTTAGGGAAATCGGTTCAACATTTGTTGTTTAGTGAGTTGCCCTTGTTTTTTTAGTCCCCAGAGCAGAAAGCCAGGCATCCTGAGTTTATTCCCCCGGAAAGAGAAGTCTTTGCTGCCACCGCACCCATGCCCCCACAGTAGTCAGTGGCACCCCAGGCCCCTCTGGCATCTGCTTCTCGTGACGTTCAGAAAGGTTACTCACCTCTGGCAGCTTTGTCCTAAGTGACCAAATCCTTTTGTGGTCACCAAAGAGTCCCTCAGAGAAAAGGGGGACAGGGTCTAGGAGCTTCTCCAGATGGCTAGAGCAGAGAGAGGAAAGAGGGGTTTCTTTGGGGTGGCCGGGAGTCCATATTCTAGTCCCACCTAAAAGTGGTGCTCGCCTCCCTGATTCCACATCAGATCACCGGATTCCTCCTTGTTTCCTCCTGCCTTTGACAAAAATGCTTTCAGATGATATTTGTGGGAATGGGGATGGGGGAGGGAGAAACAGCTTGAAATCCCCCCCCCTTAATGAGGGGACTGGGAGCCCACAGGACAGTTCGGGGACAGTTTGCCCCAGGAAATGTGGAGGATAGGGATGGAAGTGGGGATCGAGGACCCCGCAGATGCCACAGTTACAAGCCTCCTGCCCAAGCCCAGGTGGTCTTCTATCAATCACTTAGGAATTGGATCCCACAGCTAAGCTGAAGTTTTCTCCCTCCCCAAGACTGTATTTCCAGCTTCACCATGGTCTCTTCCTTCTCACCACCACCACCAGCAAATAGGAAAAACGGAGGCCCAGAGAGGTCAAGCTAGCATCCCTGGGGGCGGGGGGGGGGGTGTCACACAACATCAGATGCAGGATCAGAACTCAGGAGTTCCTGGTGCCTCTTGGCGAAGTTGCAGCCAGAGCTCCCCCTATTGCCCTGGAGACCCCCTTGGGCTGTGAGTAAGCTGGCCCTGAGGACCTGGAGCCCTGGTGTCAGTGAAGAAGCTGGGACCAGGAGTCCCCTCTGGGCTCGCCCTGCCTGGGTGGACAAGCTGCAAGGGGATCCTCAGTGGACAGGGAGGTGGCAACTGCCGGTGGAGCCGGGGGAGAGGTATTTTTAGAGGTGGCTGGAAAGCAGGCATTCTGGCACACCCCCAGCTGGCGGGTGCTTCGCTCCAATGCGGGGCAAGGGGGTGCGCAGCTCGGGGAGCCCAGGGGACTGGTGGGTGGCGGGGAGCAAGGGGGCACAGATTCCTTCGCTTTGCCCGAGTCGGGGACAGAGGACTATCCGGGCACCACGTTCCTGGGGTAGGAGAAAGAAGGAGGACTCATTTCTCCGCTCCAGGGACTCCCCCACTGACACACGTGAAGGAGTGCCCTCAAACTCCACGCAGCCCCCACCCCACACTGGGACCCCCGCCCTCCCCTACCTAGGGAAGCCCAGGACTCACGTGGGGAGCGGCGGCGGTAGAGGTCTGTCCCAGCTTAGTTTGGAGTGTAAAGAATGGGGGAGAGGGGGTAGCTGAGGTATTTGGGCGCGGGATGGGGCAAGGGGTGCTTACGGGAATTGGAGGGGACGCGGTGTCTTATCCACCCCCGGATTTCTGGGCTCCGGCTCACGAGTCCCTCCAGTCCCGAGGGGCCGTGGATGATGCGCGTCTGGGCCGCCCCCTCCACCTGCCCCCCATCCCCCCCGGGCAGCCGCCGCGTCCCCTTTAAATGCCCGGGAGCCGGAGCCCGAGCCGCGGCTGGCGCTGCGGCTGCCGCAGCACCCGGACCCACCGCAGTCCCCACACGTCACAAGCGACTGTCCAATCACAGCGGCGCCGGCGCACATCAAAGGGGCGGGCCGCCTGCGGGCCACGCCTCCCGGCTGCCCTGCAGGCTCCCCGAGAGCGAGCGAAGGTGGGGTTGCGCGCAGGGAGAAAGGAAAGAGGGAGCGCATCCCTGCGGAGGAGCGTGGGTGGGGGGTACCCTCGCTGGAGTGGCTGCGGGGCTCTGCGTGAGTCCCCGCCCGCACACCCAGAAGTGGCAGGGCTGTGCCTCCAGGGCTCTGAGCCCTGAGATTTGCAGAAATGCACCCCTACCGCCAACCCCCATGCCCTTCTTCGCTCCTAAGCCCAGCGGTAGGCACCGTTGGACCCAGCCCAGGAAAAGCAGTTCCTCCCCCACGTGCGCCTAGCTCTGCCCTCCGCGCGGAGTCGCGGCACCTCGCCTCTTGGGATCCTTCCTCGGTTAAGGTTACAGGGGATTGTCGGGGAAGAGGCTCTCCCACTCCCCTACCCCGTGAACACTGATTTAAGGACCCAACTGTTTGCCCTTTGCAAGTGGTGTTGTAAATAAAAAACCCACTTTCTCTTCTGTTTCGTAAGAGTTGGTGCCTAGCCACACTCCCCTGCCTCCCCCTTCCCCCCAACCCAAAGCCCTCCCCCCAGCTCCCTCTGCCCTCCAGCCTGATGGCTGAGGAGAAGCTTATGATTCAACAGCAGAGAGCCAAAACTTATATATACTGAGAACGTACTATGAACAGGGCACTGTACTAGGTTGCTGCACTTGACAGTTGCACATTCACAACAGGAGAAATTATTTGCCTGAGTTCAAACCTAGGCACACCTGGCCCATGGGGTCACAAAGGAGCTGTGTGGATGCAGAGCCTAGGCGCCCCCAGGCCGCGGTGTAAGTCTCCCCCTGCTCCACTCCTCCAAGAGAGCCGGCAGGTGGAAAGGCCCTGTGTGATCTGGCAGCCCGCGGTGCTGGAAACCGGCGAGGGAAGGAGGGTGAGCAAGGAATTACCCTGTGCTGGGGGTTAGGGTGAACAGGACAAGTGTGTGCCGTCTTTCCACATGTACAAAGGAGAACGAACGCTTTACAGCTGCTTAAAACCCTTGACCGTAACTTCCAGCTCCCCAGCTCCTTCACCGCCTTGCTGCTCACGCCCCTGTCCTCACTGCCCACCCTCTCTTCCCGCTCTGCAGCACCTCTGATGTTTCCTGGGGACTTCACTCCTCAAGAACACACCTGCCCCATTTGCTGGGTGAGCTCGGTCTCTGTCACACATCCTGAAGCTCCTTCTATCACACCGATCACCTGTGTGCCACCACAACATGTGGGAAGTGCTGTCAGTACACTTCCGTGGGTCAGCTCACATAATCCTCACCACTCTCTGAAATGCTGCGTGGCTCCTTCTGCTGTTGGGAAATCGGGGCACAAAGAGTTGAGCTTGCCCAGGGTCATCCAGCCGGTGAATGGTAGAGCTGGGCTTCCAGCCTGGTTGCCTTTTTGTTTTTAAGGTTTTTTTGTTTGTTTGTTTGTTTGTTTTTTAATTTGTCAGAGAGAAAGAACACAAGCAGGGGGAGCGGCAGGCAGAGGGAGAGGGAGAAGCAGGCTCCCCGCTGAGCAGGGAGCCTGATGCGGGGCTCTATCCCAGGACCCCAGGATCATGACCTGAGCTTAACCGACTGAGCCACCCACGTGTCCCCCAGCCTGGTTGCCTTAACCTTTACCCCACACCGTGCCCCTCCTTCAGCGTCTGCCACCGCTGTCAACAACAGGAGGGCAGAGACCACGTTTGCCTTATGCGGTAGTGTTCCGTCCACTCCAGCACGGAGACTGCGGCACACAGTAGGCCTTAGATGTTTGTTGTTGAATGAAACACGTCGCCTGCTGTGTTCAGCTCGACCTAGCAACTCCGTTTGTGTCTCCTCATTTTATCTTCTCACTAACTGGTCACTGCAGGATTATCCCCATTTTCCAACAGGGGTATTGAGGCTCAGAGAGATCAAATGAGTTGCCCAGGGTCACATGCCCCCAAGGAGGCACTAGATGCAGATCCGGATCCTGACGATGAACACCCTTTCCGATGAACACCCTTTCCGCCGGTTTCCAACGATGGGGCTGAGGGTGGGGCGGGCGGTAACTTTCTGTGGCGGCCTGAGCCAGTTCTTACTGCCCACCTCTGCCTTCCAGGCTTGCGGATATCAGAGCCACGGGGGCTCTGTGCAAAGCACCTCTGTGGAATAAATCTAGAAACTCCCAGTTTCCCCTACGCTAAACTTTTCACGGCACAATCCTACCTCATTGTGCCAATGAACACAGTTGGGCAGTTGGACGATCAGCCATGTGTCTAAAGAGGGGGACAGAAAGGGGAGGGGAGTCCTACCTCCCTCCTCACCCCATCCCAGGCCCCAGCAGGGTGAGGCCTCTGCCCAGCACTCGGCTGCAGAACTTCCTCTCTTCCTGTGGGGTTCACCTTAGAATTCCCGTCAGTCAGTCAGTCAGTCTGGTAGAGAGCTTGTGGGGCTGGGGTCATCTGAGGCGACAGACACAGGAGTTTCTGGGAAAGCCTGATTCAGGTGGCCAGGGATGGGGCTCTCCGGTTGGCCTTGACCAAGAGGGTGTGACTCTCGCCTAAGGTTTTGGCACCTTAGGCAAGAGTCACCTCTTTGGCGTTAGAGCCCGGGAGGCCAGGAATCAGGACCCGGGACTCTGGCTCTGCGACAGGCCTGGTGGGGGAGGGGCAGTGGCGGAAGGGGAGGGGCAGATCCCCTGGTTCCTCTGAACACTCCAGCTCCGGGAAGGACGATTTTGTGCCAGGCACGTAATCCCCACAACAACCCTGGCCGATGAGTTTTAGTATTCTCCTTTTTACAAACGAAAAAGCAGAAGCTTGGGGACATTAAGAAAGTGCCTTGCCCAAGGACGCTGTGCAGCAAGTGGCGGTCAGCTCCGATGTTGAGGTCTGCACTTCTCTGTCTGGAGGAGGCTGAGGGCCTTCAGTGACCTGGCGACCTATGCAGGTGGGCTTAGTGCCGGAGGCCACTGGGAGGACCCCGTTCGTTCGGGCAGTTCTGCGGGTTCTGCCGGAGGTGCTCTGGGCCTAAGGCCTTGTGCTGGGGCGTCGGGACTTTTCAGGTCTCTCATCCCCTTCCTAGATGACAGTCACTGGCATTGATGGAGCGCTTACTCTGTGCCAAGCAGTGTTCTAAAGGCTCAGCTCTCTTCATTCTCACATCAACCCTAGGATCTATTTGTTCCTCCACCTTACCGATGAGAAAGATGAGGCACAGAGTGGTATGCAACCTGTCCAAGATCCCAGAACTGGGAAGTGGCATGCGCAGGATTTGCACGAGTTTTGAGTTGCCCTTCTGTGGACGGGAATGGGCCGCGTCCCCCCCACGCCGGTGCTCGGGAGAATCTGGCAGTAACATAGATGGAGGTTCAGATCTTCAGAGCTGTGCTCCACCGGTGGCTGTGGACAGTCTCCCGCTCTCCGGGTCCTCCCTACAATACAGTACTCATTTGTGCTGTCCTTCATTGGACAACTGTTAACTGTGTCAGGCACTGGGGGATAAGACATTGAAGAAGACACAGACCCTGCCCTCGGGGAACTTACAGTCTAGAGAGGAGACAGAGATGAGCCAACAGCTTTTCCCAAAAGAGTGTCAGACGACCGGCAGATCTGTTCGGCCCGGGACCATTCTGTCTTGGACTTAAGCAGGTAAAGCAGCTGGGACCTGAGGTGCCTCCGGGCTAAGGAGGAGACTCATAATCCGGGGATCAGGTCCACCCCCCCCAGAGATGCCCCCATCCTGACCACTCTCCTTCCCTGTCCCACCTCAGCTCCTGCTCTTGCCTGCTGCCGGGTTCCCCTCCCTTCTTTCTCCACATCCCCTGAGCAGCCTGGAGACACTTGAGAGCAACCTTCTCCCCACCCTTGCAACTTTCCCTCCCTGCCTTCCCCAAGCCAGCCCCTCTCCCACAACAGACTCACCCAGACAGGGCTGTCCCCCCTCAGTAAGCAGCAAGGATGGGGAGTCATGTGGCAGAGGGAACTGGGTAAAGAGGTGAATGTGCAGACATCCTTTCTGCTACCTGGCAGACACCCTCAGCAGGTGGTTGAGAAAGTCACCCCCTCCCCACCCCAGGGTCCCAGTTGGGCCAGGAAGTCCTTACAGTCTGACTCAAATCCCACTTGCTGGGATATTTCCTCTCATTTGGCTTCTAAGGCACCCTCCTGTGTAATGGCTTTCAGAGTCTTGAAATCTGCCACTCCATTTCCTCCGTTTTTCGCAAATGTCACATTAAAGAGAACAAGGTGATTTCGTCTCTGCCTGCCTTGTGTCCCTGGTTACTTCTTGCAGCCCTCTCCTGCTCACTCTGTGTAACAGTCTTGTTTCAGCTTTTCAGATGTGCTACCACGGGCCCTTTGCACTTGCCATGGCCTCTTTCCAGCATACTTCCCACCGCATCCATCCCACTGAGTTCAGGGCTCAGCTCCTCTGTCACTTCTAAAAGGAAACTAGCCCTGCCCAGACACTCTCCCTCTCATGACACACCTCCACAGCACCCTGGGCTCCTCCTGGCTGATCGATTAATATCTATTTCCCTCAGACTGTCAGCTCCGCGACAGTAAGGACCAGAGTGGCTTTGCTCCCATGGTGTCCCCAGCACCTACTGCAGGCTTTGATCTGAAGTAGTTGCTCAAAAAATATTTGTTACCTGAATGACTGCAAGACTCTTAATCTCGGCTACTTGTGTGGGGTGTGGCCTTAGGCCCAGAATGACACCATAGCAAGCTTCCCGGCTTAATCTGGGCTGTCTCACTGGGGATATGCTAACGAAGGAAGGGCCGGCAGCTCAGCCGGTTTTTACAGCTTCCCCTTGAGCAACTGGCCCCACGGAGGAACCTTCCCATCCCCAAGGCAGGTCTGTGCGGTTGGGAGCTGGAGAAGCACCCTCAGAATAAGAGTCCAACCAAAATGAGAGTCCCTTGTGTGTTCCGCAGGCTTTGTAGCTT